TCATGTCGAACTGGTGATCCTGCTGTTCACTAAAGTGCTAACGCGTGCTGTTCAAACATTTCAGTTTTGCCGACCCAGCCAGCTTTCCTTCAGTTCTGCAAGTCAAGTGCTAAGTATTCACTTAAAGGGCTAATGCTCACCGCGAATTGCCTGAAGACAAGCTCCCCGGAGCAACATTCTCAAGTGTGTGTCGGTATGTAGGAGCCCGACCACAGACATGGTTTGGACATCACGTCACACCAGAGGATAGCAGGCAAGCAGCTACTCTTTTTAAGGAACCAGAACAAACCCTTCGGTCTGTGGTGTTGGTTGAACTGGTTCGGTCTGTGTTACCAGGGACATCGGGGAAACTGCCTGGATTTGCTGGGACATACTGAAATGATCATATCACATCCAGCGATCCTTGTTCCTTCCCCTCAGATGCATCGCTCCCCATCTCCTGCGTTCCCCATCTCCGTCGTGACGGTTACCGGGTCCCATGGCGGTCGTAATGAACACCCATGGCAGTCCAGTTGGACGATGTAAAAAAGAGGTCTGACCAGGTGACCCGATTTGTCTGACCAGGTGACCTGTACTTGACCTGTACCCAGTCTGTACCCTCGTTTTCGAACATTTCAGAATGCAGTTGACGCTTATGTCAAGTCCTTCGTCAAGTCCAGCTGGTGTTTAGACCGAGCCGTCTCGCCCAACGGGTGACACACCTTCGCTGGTAGCTACCAGTCCAACCAAGCAGGCTCCAATTGGGTGATCACTGCCACTTTGAGTCGTCTCCATTTAAGGTCTGCATGTCCGAGACCTGTTTCAAGTCAGGTGCTTGGTACATTTCATTGATGACCGGTCACTCTTGCTTCACACAGCGGCTGCTTCCGCGGCTCCTTTTCTCCACGGCTTCCGCGTTGGCCCGGGCGGCTGGGTTCATTGCCGGGGGCGGTCCGTCGGCCGTCGGCCGTAGCCGTGGAGGTCAGCTGGAACGCAAAAGAAAAAGCAGGGAAGCAAAAAAGCGATCTGCCAACTCCAACCAGAAGCATGGTGCGCACCAAGACGTGAAGTCTTGACCCTCCAAAGTAGGGGCCGGACGAGGGATTCCGGACCCTCAAATCCTGAGCTTTTGAGGGACTAAGGCCTGTTTGGGTGCGTTTGGGTGCACATGAATTCTGGGACACCTACCCAAAGGTAGCGTGAGAGGATGATACAGGACTGATGACATGAGACACAGACAGACAGAGACAGAGACAGAGACAGAGACAGAGACAGAGACACAGACAGACAGAGAGAGAGAGAGAGTGTCGCACTGTGACTACAACAGCGAGGGGTGATACACGAATATACACCATGAGCAGACCAGAACTACTTGAAGTGAGGTCACACAGACCGTTCCTGTATGTGTATTGAAATAGTGACTCTGAATGTCAAAAAATCAAGACTATACTGTTTCATTGTAAAGTAAGGAAAATCCTTTTCAGGTCTCCTGAAGACCATCCTTTGTATAGACTAGGGGGAGACCACTTATTGTCCTTCTTCCAGGGGCCTAAAGACCATGTTCTATCATTTCTCAAAATAGTGTTGGACTCCCAGCTCTACTCCTATTCTAGCTCAACATGTACCAACAGCAGACATTCTATGTTTGGGGTGCGTCTCAGTATGAGGAAAACTCCTCATCCTCAACTGTCAATGCACTAGACGCAAGCCTTGTCCTGTTGAATACCCGAAAAAAAGAAGCCAAAGGAGTGAAGTCTCGTGCGCTCCAGGAGGAAGACAGTTTCTCGGTGCTTTGAGGGTCACAGAAACGAGCGGACCCTTGCATGGCCTTGTTGGAGGAATGAGTAGTGAGTAGTGAGCTTTACTTTAAGAGCAAAGCTTTAGGGCCAAACGTCAAGATCTTCACACAAAGAGTTGGGCAACATTGATTTGGAGCCAGAACCAGTGCCATTCAGAAAAAGAGAGGCTTGCTGTTCCAGCTGTCCCTACCCAGTGAGATTCGATCGAATCAAACTTCACTCCTGTTTCACAGGAGGAATTCCTATGTGGCTGTGGGTCATGGCACCAGGATAGCGGACCTATATACCTAGTGTCTGTCGTTCCCTACATGGTGGACTGGTCGGGCTGCAGGTATTGACCATCCCTATCTAGTCCTATGGTCACGCGAGTTTCATGGCCTCCAGCCTAGCCGACCTGTGGCCTTGGCCAATCTGTCAGGGGTGATGATTCGACAAATCGACAGATCACCTTGACGCAGAAATCCATGTAGCAGGATGTACATATATTAATGTATCATGCTTCATCTGCTTACTTCTACCCGCTCCTGTCAGGGCCCAGCTAGGCGGATCTGTGATGTTGCGAAAAAAAGCACAACATGCTGCCCAGTCAACATGACTGCGGAAAGTCTTGAAAAACCAGTGGAGAGTGGGCCAGCACCTCCAGAAGAACCGTTCAGTCAGGCCTAAATTCACCGCATGAGAGCTACCTGGCTACCTAAGCTGTAATCTTCAACGTAATGCAAAGTTCTGGTAGAACAAACCAAAAACATCCGGGTCCCGTAAGTAAGGGTCTTGGATTGCTGCCGGGACCCGAACAGATCGACGGACCCGATGGGCTGGGAAAGGACGCTTCACAAAAAGCTTGGCCTTCCATCCGACCAGATCCCTGGGCTAGATATGATCAAGGAGAACATGAAAGGCCGCATGTTACTATATCTATACCTGGACCTTCTAACCGTGTGCAAAATGTCTGTCGAACTTGCCTGGTTTTACACGTCATTGGAAGATCCAAGTATAATGTTCCTTGCCAAGCCCAGCAATGAGACTTGGCGGTATAGGTCCTCTGAATCAGTTTCGGTCTGCAAGGTCTCTAGCTTCGTCAGCTTCCCCCCACGCACTAATGAGAGGCTTGGCACTCCAACTTGCAGGTATTCTCGCTGTGCCTCTTCTCGCTGTGTCCGCCGTCCATTCGAGCGCTGCAGCGCTGCGGCTGTCGACGCACGCGGGACGCGACAAATCGCTCGTGAGCAGCGCGAGGCACGCCGCTCACCAGGCAAGCCTGGGAGAGGCGAGCGGCACGTGGAACTCGGGGAGTTCCGAGTGCGTCACGGGAAAAGGACGAGGATGGGGCGGTGAGGCGATGAATGTAGGGGAATTCCAAGCACCATTGATTGTTTAATGATTAAATGGGTGTTTACTAATGAAACCTTAATCTTTATTAAGGGTTTTAGTTCGACTAGTAAAAAACACTCGTGCTTCACCTGGTTTTGCAAAGTCAAATCCTTCCCCTTCTTAAGGGCCCGGAACATCGAATGTGAAGGGTCAATCCGTGTAGGGTCCCTTGCTTCTGCCTTTCTTCGCGCCTCCGGTACCCCTGGTCGACACCGTGGAACGAGCAGTTTTGCCGGGAACGAACTGGAACGACCAGTTGGTGTCAAGGAAGGTCAAACAAGTCGATGGTTTTGGGATGACCCGGCAATCGAAGTCATGGTGCAGGAAGCCTAGGGTAAAGCTACCCCGATATGCAACACGAGTCGAGTCCATCTCCTGAACATCCCCAGTCGAGTCGAGTCGAGCTGGACGACTTTTGGGGGCCTGGACGCTCCCTTTGAAAGCACGGCCGCAGGACCCCCAAAGGTCCCTCCAAAATCATGCAACATCTACCTAAGACCCAAAACCTGCCACTTTTAAGTCTCCAAAAGCAACCAGAGGGGACCTGTTGGAAGGTGCTGGTATTTAGGACCTAGACCTTCCTGTTTGGGGTGTCCTGTCTCGAGATCCACAAGTAGTGAGCTGGGTACTCCAGCCAGTTCGAAAGCTCCCAGATGCTGCGCCGGGTCTGCCCCCCACGTTTCACTCACCGAGGGCTGAAGCGTCAACCAGAAGAACCACCTCCCCACGTCCCACGTCGGCGCAAAGAGTGCGTCCCCGGCTTTGGTGCACCAGGGGGGCGGCCGCCTGGCCCTGGCGACATGGGTGTGTGGTTTCTGGAAAAGGAATTGATAGACATGGATCGATATGGATCGATGTGTATGTATTTGAAGAGGATGGATTTTGGACTACTTTCCTGGAGGGGGTCGTCGAAGAGGGTGGCGGTCTCCCTAGAAAATGAACCACAGAACTCTGTTCCAAAGGAAACCCGGTGTCCTTTGGACCAATGGTTGGCATTTCCATGCTTCTTCAGGCGTCGTGGTAAACACAGACCACCTTCAACACAAATAGGTTCTTTTCAAGCCCCCTTGAGAAAAATGACGAGGAACCAATGATCCTCATTTTCGGGAGCAGTGCAACACAGAGCGGATTGTTGTTTCAGCGACCCTAGCCTTCCGCTCAACCATAAAGTTAAAAAGAAGGGTTGACCTGATGTTGCAGTGCAAAGTCCTCAGTAAAACAATGGTTGTTTGTAGAAAGTGAAAGCATGTAAAACCATTACTGTAAATCAATGGTGGGCCTGGAGGTCCAAGACCATGTTATAAATGGTTGTTAGGCGATCCGAAAAGGAATGTCTTTGAGTTAAGTTCAGGATCCCCGGATGTTCCTCTCAAACGCGCTCAATGATCGCGCGTTCCCCCTTTTTCCCGAGACCTTGAGCCAAACAGTTTGTTTGTGATACCTCGGCAATGAAAGGTCCTGGATGGAATGCATCCATCGCTATTTCTGAAAATGCAACTCTACATTGAAAGGTTGCATGTCGATTTCAATGCAAAAGGCACGAGCCTATGCACGAGCCTATGCGGTCCAAAAGTGCACATGGATCAACTGTAGATCAACTATACATTCAAACATGTCTTGCCTTACCATACATGGGCGCATGGGCTGGAGAAACTTTTCTCCTTGGCAGCGGCACTTGGTGTGTTAGCTATGTTTGACCCCTCCGCCTTGTAAGGTGGTATGCGAGACGGTTTCCTCTTCTTACGCTTTTGTATCCTGCTGGTGAGGGAGCTGGTTTGTTGTGGACCTTTGATGCTGCGCTGGTTGCTGGGGCATCTGTTTGTCAAGCCTGATACCTGAGCCTTCCATCTCGACATGGGAAGCCATCTTCAACCCCGTGGACAATGTGCTCTTTACTGTATACAAGTCAAGGCGCACGCCCAAGTTCTCCAACGTTTTGGGCCAAAGTGCAACTTCAACGGCCTTGGTGAACGCATCAGCCTTCTGGTGGAGGCCGTCCACTATGCACAGCTCAACGTCCTCACGGTCCAACCGTGAAATTCACTGAGGCTAAACTGACGCGATGGGCGCGCTTCAGGCGGCGTAGCTTCTTCGAGTAGCCTGCTGTGACCAACTTGGCGCACGCAGTGTTATTGTCACGCAATCTCAACAGGATGGGACGACCAAGCATTGCGGAATAATACAGTTTGACCAACGACAGTTCCTATCCAAAAGAACATGCGACAGCGCGACAGTTTCGGCCTCTGTCGTGCTATGGCATGTTGCTGTTTGTTTCTTCGACAGCCATGCCAGCGGGAACGACTTTTGTGGTCCAGACAACTGTAACCAACCACCTGTGGTGCTGCGCGTGTGTGTTCATCACCGCCACAGTAGTCCGCATCTGCGTAGAGTTCATTGAAAGGCAGACTTTGCTACCGTGGCGACTCAGCCAAAACAGCTGAGGGCAAGTTGGCGCTTTACCAAACGTTAGCAGCGTTGCCCGCGTCGATTGTGGCCGCCAATTCGGTGATATATCCTTTGGGTTGTTTGAGGGTCATTCGTTGTCGGCCGACGCAGTGAAAGCTTACTTGCAAGCAGAGTTTAAGAGTCTTGCAGCAACATACATCCGCCTTCTGAGTTGTGGCCTGCCGCTTGGTTTCGCTCAGACGGTTCTGCTCGATACCAGAGGCCGATAATACGTTTGCGGAAATCGTTGTGCCCAGAAGCTGGCGCCCATTGACAGCAGTTTCTGGAAGAGCACTTGAAGTTGCTTGGAGCAGTCGAAGAGTTTGCACCGACTTTCACAATTCCAACCTTCGCAGCCTTGCCTTAGTCGTTCACGTGGCCGACTTGATTCCCGCAACAGTGGCATGATCCTTTCTGGAAGGCCTTAGGTGAAAAGGTGCTGATAGATGATGTTGGACCGTTGGGACGCTTCCTTGGTCGTCGTCGTTGCACCGTTGAAGTCGCAGGTGCAGAGTCGTTCGGGCTTGATATGCGTGTATACACAGATGCTACAGTCCAAGCATACTTGAAGGTAGCTGATTGTCCAAAGTTGAAGGTTGTTGCATCACCTTTCCTGAGCAAAGGTTTCGTCGGTGCTGAAGAACGTGGAGCAGCGTCCTGATGAGGATCATGTGGCTCGCGAGGCTTGCCCGCCCGGATCTTTCGAGGGTGGTGACATGGCTTGGGACGATGGCGCAGGCGTGGACAAAGGCATGCGATGCCTACCTCTACCGAGCCATTTGCTACCTGGAGTGCACCAAGGACGCAATGCACGGTACTCAGGAGTCAACATGCTTCTCACTGCATATTGCCAAAAAGTCCGCAATGTGGATGGTTTCACCGCTGTGCAACGCGGCATCCTTCACCCTATACTCCTCATCCACAGAGTCCAAGTCCCATGTTCCCATGGATCCGACTCCATCAAACTTCTTGCGGATTGCCTGAAGTGAATCAAGGAAAGTGAGACCTTCATTTCGTGTGAATTGTCTCATCACAAGGGCGTAAACGCCAGCTGCAGCATCATCTAGCGCCTCATATCCTTCTGGAAGTGCGTCCGGCGAGTACTCCGGTCCTTCAGTTGGTTCCAGATCAACCCAATGCGATCTGTCTGCTGTTGCTGTAGATGAGGAGGAAGATGCTTTTGCAGAGCTCTTTAGGCATAGGAAGCGGTCCTGGTGTCTTTGGTGCTCAGTGAGAGTGAGAGCGAGTGTGAGTATGAGTGGGACTGAAGGTGAGTGTGAGTGGGTGTGTGGGTGAGTGTGAGAGTGGAGTGTGGGAGAGTGAGAGTGAGAGAGTGAGGGTGAGAGTGCGAGAGTGAGTGTGAGTGTGAGTGTGGATGAGAATCATTGTGAGTGAGAGTGAGTGAGTGTGAGTGCGAGTGCGAGTGAGAGTGGGAGAGTGAGTGCGAGTGTGAGTGAGAGTGAGAGTGGGAGTGTGAGGGAGTGTGAGTGTGAGTGAAAGTGGGAGGGTGGGAGTGAGAGAGCATCTGAGAGCACAAAGTACTACGCCTGCCACGAAATTTGCACTTCGAGGTTTACCAAGCGCTGTGCCTGCCACTTAATCTGCACTTCGAGGTTCACCACGCGCTGTGCCTGCCACGAAATCTGCACTTCGAGGTTGTGCCTGTCACGAAATCTGCACTTCGAGGTTCACGACAATCACCGACATGTCCGAAGTGCTGCACCTGCCACGAAAACTGCATATCGAAGTAAAACAGCTCCGATCCCTTGCACCCGTCACGAAAAGTCGACTTTGGAGCACCAAAACATGAGGTTTCCCTTGCACCTGTCACGAAAAGTAACCACCATGAACGAAAATGCGCACGGCACCACAAGGAGAGCGCAGTCGCGACAAGCACCCACCGCGGCCACCCAGATTCTGCGAGCCTGCGCAGTCGAAATGCACATTGACGATGTCGAGAGGCATGAATGTGCTGTAAATAGCAGCGAATTAGCCGTTCACGCCCGCGCGCTTCAGCGATCTAAGCATCAGCTTCCTTTCCCTTACCGTAAGAACCCCTCAGTGTGCCCACACTGTTTGGGGAAGAAAAGACTTTGACCAAAAAGACAACATTTGGGCGTCGCCTGCACGTGTCGCGAGAAAGGGGCTGGACCAGGTGTTCTGAAAGTTCTCCTTGTCGCTATCGCCTGGAGCGAGATGCTTCCACAAACAACATCTGACTCACCGGAGATTTTGTTGCAAAAGAAAGCTTCACCGAACTGATCAATGGCAGGCTTTTCGGTGGGGGAGCGTTTTGGGGGACATGAATCCGCCCAAAAATGTTGTAAAGCTGATCTAATGGAAAACCACCGCCATCCACTTCCATGATTTTTCCAGGCAGTGTATCCCCACGGTGGTTTCGTGGGCGACGAACCAGTAGAATGGACTCGACATGCAAAAAAGAACGAGATTGGTCCGAGATCTCCCACCTTCATCGAGATCGCCCAAACCATCCATGGGACTTGAACATTTGCCCATACATGTTGGTGGTGCTAGAATGTCTCAAGGGTCAATGTAGGTCAATATTGACTACCTGGAAACCCAGCCCCGACCAGAAACGAATGGATGGAACTCCCCAGTCCCAGCCACTTCCTATGCTTTCAGGGTCTGTGAGGCTGGCGCCATATTGAAACAACCACCAGAACCTTAATTTATAGATACCTCAAACGGATGGTCCTGGCATTTGTTTCTGGTTGGGACCCTCGGAAAAACGGTCCGGACCGACTCCCGCCTAGTCTGGACCGACTTCGCCCAGGGAGCGGCACGGACAGGGGCGGCTGATACAGCCTAGAAAGCCGCGTGAAAAGCAACCCACCGTTGTTTTAAGGAATAATGAAAGCAGCTCAACCATCTTAAAATAGTCTTGGAAGGCTACGGAAGATGTCTGGGATTTGCTGTCCAAGAATCTGGAAAAAGAGAACATATATTCCCATAGGAGCTTCACGGCAGTGCTTTTGAAATAGTCACCCTAAGCAAGATGATCTGTGCCACCAGGATTCTCTACGATGTGGACTTCCTCTAATACCGTAAAACTCTCGAGTTGTTTGACGGCTCGTTTGCTAGTCATGAGCCAGCCAAAGGTCAGCAACATCCACCTTTTTCACCAGACATCCATGTGTGTCGTTCTCAGAAATTGGCTTTCGAAGTCTTGCAGATCCCTTGCATCACCTAGAGACTCAAGTCGATTATTGTGCGCTTAGCCCTCAACTGAAGGGATGGACTCGGATGGACCCCCGGTGCTCTCATGGGTTGTCTTATGTTCATTGAAAATGAGCAGAGAGAGAGAGAGAGAGAGAGATTATAGATGGTAAAACCTCTTACGTATGTATACCGGATATATACCCTAGCCTTCAAAGACCATTAAAAAGATTTGGTTGATCTGATTTTGCTGTGTAAAACCCTTAGTAAAACAATGGTTCTTTGGCAAAGACCATTGAGACCATTGAAACAATGGTGGTTGGAATCCCAGGATATGAAAATTACTTAAGAGTCTAAGAGTCTACATAATGCTCCCCGTTCTCTCGCAGCTTGCCAACCCCCAAGTTCCGGCCAAGCAGACCGCCGGCGGGGCGGCCTTTTCCGCCCGGTCAACATGCTGAGCCCTCCGAGCTTTTTCAGGTTCCTCCCCGCAGCCGTGTGAAGACCTGGGACGAAAAGATGCCGGCGGAAGAATAACAAACAAGCTCTTCCCTAACAATCCTTGGCCGCCTGGTGCGATTCCCTAACAATCCATGGGACTGGAACGGTTGTCGATCGATTGGGGTGGATTTTAAGATGTCTTTAGGGTCAATGCAGGTAAATATGCCATACACTCTGACGAACATCACATGGAAGTGGATGGCATGCTCCCTTGGAAGACTACTTTCCTTTACGAACAGGGGGTGCCATCCACTTCCGTAAGTCGGAGTGTACATGGGTTGTCAGGGTCCCTTGGTCCCTCAAAACCTCACACCCGGAACTGGGAGGAAGGGGGCCCAGAACTTCCCCGATCCCTCCAGTAGGCAGGTCGCATCCGGGAGTCGAGCCGCTTTCTTCGTGCCTTTGAAGCCTTTGAAATCCTCATGTCGATGTATCCAAATCCGTCTCTGAAAGTCCACTCGTGGCGAGTGCTGGTTGGAGGAATATCCACAGAAAGCCAGCATGTTTTTTCCGTTCGTGCGGGTTCCGGTGGTAGATCTTCCCTCTCCAGTCTCCAGTCTCCACCGGTCTGAGCCATCGCACCAAAGACCTTCCAGAGCTGGCTGTTGTCCACATCCTCGGCCAAGGACTGAACCACACCACGCGCGGTGCGCGCACCGCGGACCAGGGAAACCCCAGTTGGATCGATGGTCTGGGATGTGAAGTCCATCCCTAGCAGCACCTGACTTGAGTTCAAAGTCTCGGAAAAGGCTGAAATGCGACCCAAAGTGGCAGGTGATGACCTGGCAGGTTTCAGGTGCTGGTATAGAAGTACAATTCCTGGCCGAGCATTCATTTAATTCGTCTGAATCCGGAAGTTCCAAAGCGATGTTATTTAATCCTATCCAGTGAACGGATGGAAACTGTTATTCTCCGTACTTTACACTCCCTAGGGATCCTGTCCCACATCCTCAGAAGGTAGCTGGACCCCCAACCACCTTCTTTTCGGACTCTTTGCAATGGTCTCCGACCAGGACAGACCGTTATTCTCTTTGGCACCTTGCCTTGTGTTGCCTGACCGGTGTCGCTTCCATCCACTACTCGGGTCATCGGGCACGTCGATTCGCTGGGTTTTTCAAGGAGGTCGATTCCCGAGAAGTCTTCAAAGACGACATGTGCACGCCGAGTTCATGAAGTGTGAAGTTCTCGAAGTGTGTGGGTCCCCAGGTTTCAGTTTCGGTCCTCTAGTCCAAAGTTCTCGACGTTTCTCCCAGGATTCTCTGTGAATCACGAGTCCCAACACCAAAGCCACATGGTGGTCGTCGAAACGCCCAATTCGTCATGCAGAGATCTCTGAACCTCCAAAGCCTTATGGGTCCAAAGTCTGAAATCATCCCAAACATCCTCCTGGTCCATCCCCAATCCACCAGGTCCGACCACCTGTCAACCAAGGTCTACCCTCCAAGCAAGATGGCGACCTTGGTCACCCACTGAGCTGCCCCCACCCGTCGCCAGGACTCTTGCCCCGGAACCTCATGGCTCCTCACCGACAAGGACGACGAGGCGCGTTGGCCGCCACGGCGGAACGTAGCGCGCGCCGGCACGGGAACAACACTGGACCTTCCTAAGACCATGAACAAGAATGCTTGTTCGGAGTATCTCGGCGATGGATTCCATGCCGGGCCAGGAATCCCAACAAAAGCAAGGAACGAAGATCCTACAAGTCCAGTCTGACCCTCGTGTTTGACCTGACCCTTTGACCTCCTTGAGCCGTGTTTTTGGACGTCCAGTCTTTCGGTCCGTTCCTGACCTCGCTCGGAGTGTCCGACCCTCGGGCCGACATGGACCCGACGAGACCTGTCGGGTGCTGGTGAACTGATGGACCCGGTAGACCGGGGGTGCCAGCACTGGCGGTCTCAGTCGGTAGCCATGGTAGATTGACCTGTCAAGTCGGGTGCTTTCTTTTGCAGTTTCCAAGGCTGTCCGTGATCTGAGACCGCAGACAGCGCCTGACTACACATGGATTCCTTCACCGCCATCATCTGCGCTTTGTGGATGCCCTTGAGCTGCATGGGTGTCTTTGGTCAGGTCCTTGTAGGTGACCCGATTCCGGGGAATGGCCTGGTTGGGTGCCCGTTCCTGCTGGGGTTTGACTCCTTTGGTGACCCCCGCCCCCGTACGAGGGAATAATCAGTATAATGCGATTATTGACTCTTAGTATGAATCTACACCAAAAGTAACGATTTATATATTTTTAATTAACTGCTCAATAAAAATTAAATATTCGCCCTTACTAAAATATTTAATTTATTTGATTTATTTAATTCATTTAATTAATTAAATAAATTAAATATTCGCCTTTATTAAAAATATTTAATTTATTTAATTTATTTAATTTATTTAATTCATTTAATTAATTAAATACATTCAATATT